CGCCCGCCCACGGCAGGCGCCGATATTGCCTAATTTGGCTGTCGAATTTGGTAAAAAGGACAGCCAAATAGGGTAGGCGCCGTTGGGGTGCAACACGATGGGGTAAAAGAAGGTGAGAGCATCAATAATGGCTGTAGTAGCCATTGCTTGCCACTGTAAAAGTGTTCGTCGGGACTAGCGTGGAGAAGTGTCTGGAGGAGCGTGTCTGCAGATTAAAGCCAAGTAGCCTGCGGGGAAAGACCGACCCCGCTTAGTTGTTGGAAAGATGAGCTCGGTGGGCAGGCGGCACAGCGACATTGTACCCCGCACTGCCCCTCCAAACAAGTCGATCGCCAGCGCAAATCTCACTCCTCTCTCTCATGGCGCATCCAGTCAGCGTGAGTAAAGACGTTGTGCAGTTGCTAACGCAATGCACACAGGTTGGGCTCATTGTCGTGCAACATCCCCGCCCTGAAACTCCACACCTTGTCCACCGGTCGCACCCCAAAACTTCGCCGCAGCCTCACACACACGGAACCGAGCCAGCGACACACAACTCGGCCGTCGGCGTATGCATGGGGTTGGTGTGATGCAATATCTCCATACACCACCGGGTCAAAAGCGTTGGTTGCGGACACTTTGGCTTGCGAAGAGGACTCCGGTACAAGGCTACGGCTGGAATATTGACGTCTAGCACGTCAAGCAAGCCTTATGCAAACTCCAACGATCGAGGCTCCAGCTTGGCTCCTGCTGTGTCTCCGCGCGAGCAAAGACGCGATGGAAAGCATAGTCTTTGCTCCTATCTCCTTGTCTTTGGTCGCATTGGAGGTCGTCTCACCGACTTAAATGCCTTGGTAGACACCAAACTGACACCTTTACTATAGAAGGAGCGTAGCAGTTTAGATGAAGCCTTATTGAATGGATATGAATTCTCATGCCTTTAGCCTATCGCCTTCGTAGACAATGTCTTTTGACTTTCCGCCACAGAGATCGTATGCAAAGCTTCCTTGAGCTTTTCGGCGAGCGTAGTCGCTTTTTTCTAAATAACGAAGGGCATCGTCCATATACCCGCTCTCTAGTTTATATCGCGAGAGGTCTTTGATTCGGAAGATGTAGACGCTAGGCTTATTAGCCAAAGTTGAGTGTCTCCTTATCTATAGTTAGTATTCCATCACTGGGCCTACTATATTGTAATCTTACGGTAATGTCTTAAACACGGAGCCGGTACGGCTTCCGTAAAAACATCTAGGCAGAGACTTCTTTCCTTACACAACTATCGGCTTGTCGAACCTGCTTGTTTTATTCTATAGCTTTTCGTTATTCCTTTCTTAACGTAGAGAGCTCTGGCATGATATCTCCGGACAAAGTTTAGGAAAAAGTGGAAATAATTAGCGGGCGATGACAGCGGTGACGCTATGTAGATGTTACCATGTTCTGCGCGCTACTGTAGGCTCAAGTTCCCTACTTCACCATTATAATCTTGATAGAAACGTCTCCACCTTATAGATTAACTCGGACCTACCTGTCGACTTCCTTGCGGGCGTAAACGCCTTAGCTACTGCCGCCGGCATTTGCGCTTAACCCCGCTGCCGCGCTGGCGGAGGGTAGTAAAAGTTATTCCCCTAAAACCTACTACCAGCGACTACTGCACACCGGTTCGGCCAGCGGGGAGACCAAAATCATTATCATAGGTATAATTATGCGTGAGGGCCGGAAGCATGCGGGCGTCGCTGTTCCAGAAGGCGCAGGCTCCGGCTGCGTGGGCGCTCAAGTCGGCGAATGTATTGAGTACGAGCTTGCAGCAGCCGTCACTTGTTGACGTGCTCAAATACCTCACGTCTCAAGCCGTTCATCGCCACTCCGCGGCCCCAACAGAGGCGTCTATGGCATCGGCATGCTTTAAGTTCAAAACCGCTAGCTCAGTGGATGATTGGATTGCCATATTGGCCTCTGTGATTCCCTGTGTACCGGTGATCTACTTTGTAATCGACGTGGAGGTCGTTCGTCCCGCTGTCAGGGGGGTCTCAGCGTCGTTCTGGCCTAATGCATTCCTTAGGATCTTTAAAGAATTGGAAAAGAGGGGAATAAAAACGTTAGTAAAGGTTGCGTTAGTGAGTAAGGGACTTGCGGCGGTTATTGAGGATAACTGTGGCTTAGTATAAGGTCCTCGTTACTGGATCTCTACTATACCGGTGCCGTCAACAGGTGCCTCTATGGCGGGGGCAAGACGCAGGGTTGAAAGAGGGGCGGGAAGCGGGGTATTTACACGAGGATATGGTAGTTCTGGTCGTAAGGTCTTGGGGATACGGATTCGGTGAACTTTGGAGTATAACACTAAATGCTTTTGTCCATGAAAATGTGAAGGCTGGCTGTCATCAACCGAAAGCGTGGTTTGTTGGGATGCTGAAACGCCGGGTCGCACTACCGCGCTGGCAGTGCAGGCTCCACGGCTAACACTGATAACTACAATGGGCACACATCATATTTCCGCACTGTTTAGAGCTTCGCACGTAAATCATAAAGCGAAACTTTAAGAGGGTTCTATATCCGTTACATCTATTCGTTGGGCTTCCTCCACCAAGTATGCACATTGCAACTCAACGCAATTCGAAAGTGCTCTCTCTCGTACACTGCCGAAATAGTAATGGAGTTAAGCGCACAACTCGAACAAAAACTCAAACCAAAAAGGTACGAGTCAGGCCAACCAATCGTCCTGTCGTACCGCAGGTCTGACGTGAGGCGAGCAGCGACGACATGTCTTCCCAACACCACCGGGATCTGCACCAACCTGCTTTCCTCTAGCGAAGTGACCGACTCTCTCATCATCTGTTATCTCGTCCTCCCCTGTCGATGGATCACCGCCCTCGGCGCATACAACCGCCGACCGCGCGTCCTCTGCCGTGCAATGCTGCTGCAACCAAGTCTCTACGACGGATCACAACTACGAGTGGATGCAAGAGCGGAGCACGAAACAGGGTAAGTAGTTGGTACGTATTCCCGCGATTCGTAGCCTCGCAGTGCGCTCTACTTCACGCCCCCACGTCACGATAGTGCTGCGCGCTTACTCTCCCCAATCGCACCAATCGCGTGTCCATTCAGGCGCGACGACTTGCAGACTGCGCCGCGGCTAATCCATGCTACCCCTCTTTGATCTACCAATCTGATAGCCACGCAATGTACTTTCTGTACAACAAGTGCAATACGGTCGCGGGACATAATCCCAATGTATGGCCGTACATGCGGCACGAAAACCAACTCACCATGCATATGCAACCCCTGCCCAACATCGCGCTCGATGAGAACGGATTCCGCCAGAAATAACAATTATGTTTGCATGCTGTCGGTTAGCTAACATAAATAATTGAAAGCTTTTGTTTCTATAGTTCAAAGCACTTCTCCATACAATCAACCAAACTTTCTTCCAGTTCCATTTCCACAAGCAGTTTTCTCGGCTACTTCCCGGGGGCTTACCCATTGCTTTATGGGAAACGGTATAATATGGATTGGACCAGTCGGTACAGATCGTAAGTTTATCTGTAGACAAGCATTGTTTAGGCGTAGCTCATGCCTCCCACCAGGCCATATGCATCGCCAATAGTCAGCATAAAAACAAGCTCGGAAGAGACGGTCACTGTCCACTTGGATTTGTTTCGCAAACGCATGAGCCGACACACATCGCCTCTACCTGATCTCGCACATACGTTTCGCGAGCTAGATTTATCGGAGCTTGGTCAAAACGTCGTCCACGTCATTGTCCATTTCCTGTACTCCGGCCAATACGGGTCAGCACTTGACGCATATTGGCGTTTCAACCCCGAGGTCTATTTGGAAGCCTTGCGCGTGTACGGAGCAGCGCTGCGGTTCAGGATTGATAACCTTGTTCCTCTAGCCCAAGAGCAATGCGAACGCCTTGTAGAAGAAATGGATATCCTCGAAGCCCTGAAGGTCGCTAAGGGAGTACTACCTGACCTGCCGGTCAAAGACACTTGGTTGTCTGAACATATCAACGGGCTGCTTTGCAAAGCTATTCAGACCGGTAGAATCCACGGGGGGGACATGAAGGCCCTGTTCGAAGACGTCAATCCGTTCTGCTGGACCATCTTCCAGTTGCTCGCGAAGCAATTCGAAAACCGCGATGAGCAGCTAGCAGAGGCAAAGGAAAAGATCAGTGAACTGGAGAGAGCATTGATGGCAAAACAGGCAGAGGAGACTTTCTCACATTTGGAGTTTTCACGGTCGGAAATTTCAGGCTCACCTTTGACCCCGGAATACGCAACCTCGAAGCTGAAACAAGACAATCTACAGCGAGAGCCTTCCGAACAGGATAATCCAGAAGACAAGGCGGTAGTGGACGACTTCGAGCATGCACCGGAGGCCGAACCAACGCCTATAGTAGGGCTAGACTCGGGGAAACCAGCAGATCCAGAGTGTGAGTCAGAACCAGTGGCGGAAGATCCAGCAGAGCAGGAGCGGGAGCCTGAACCAAAGGAGGCTACAGTAGAGTACGAGTGGGAACAGGCAACAGTAGAGGAAGTCCCTAAAGAGCAGTAGTGTGAAGGAGAACCAGTAGAGGAAGCTACGGCAGAGCAGGAGTGGGAACCGGCAACAGAAGATAAGCCTGAACGAGACGTGGAACCGGAGCCAGTGTTGCCTTTACTAAAGATACTAGCGGAAGTAACACCAGTCGCCTCTCCGAAGGAGGATTATTCCACAGCAAACGGCTACGAGTCCCCGTTACCTACACACAAAAAAGTATACAAAGGTCTAAGGCGTAAGAAAAGCTCAAAGCGATAAAGTTAGCTTGAGCACATTGCTATCCGCCGTTTCCCGAGCAAGGAACTGACTGCTTCCTTTATTAAACACGCACGGCAAAGAGGGCACGCTTGGGTAGATCGGGCTTATTAATGGCAACAGATTATTTTCTGCATTCCTTTATAAAGAGCGAGGAGGGGTTTTGTGTTTTTAATTACGTCTATTCGTACGTTTGGCTTAGCGGATGTTTTACCTTCCCTAGTAACGAAATAGAACCTGTAGTGTAGCGTTTAGCAGCTTCTCCTAGATTACATGGACCATTATGCTCACAAGGTAAGAAGTAACGAAAGTGTTATACGAGCAGCCGTAACTAAATCCGGATATAAAAGAAACCTCTATGTGCCTCGTTCGATCCCAGCCAATCCGCCAACACAGTTTATTTCTCCAGCCCACCTCAGCCGAGCAAGCTCCATGATAAATTAACCGAAAAAACGTCACTCTGCGTACCTAATTCTCCTTCAACCCTTCCAACACGACCCACCGTGCTAAATCCCTCGTAGCCAACGCGTCCTCCAGGCTGTCATGCCCGCTCTTACCCGCCTTCTGGATCTCGCGGCCAAGCTTTGCCTTTGCTAGCGATTTCAGCGACATGGGGCTGCTTCCCCTCGGGAGTTTCTTCTTTTGCGGCTGTGCACCGGTGGGTGGAGTTTGATCGGCGGTGGGGGGAACGGACTGTTCCGTTGTTGAGTCGCTCTCGGTCTTCTTCCCTTCTTCTTTCTCTTCTTCTTCTTTCGCCGCTGGGCGCAGTGCCTCTAGCAAAAATGTGTCCACTACAACACGATGCATCCACCGCAGCGCCTTCAAGTCGTTGTTCGCCGAGTGCCCAACCACTACCGTCTCGGGCCCCACGAACCGCCACACGGCGTCGCGCGCGCTGTCGCGGCCGAAAAGGCACGTCCGCTCCGGCCTCGCCTTCCTCAGCGCATTCCACGTGACGCCGGAAAACCTGGTCCTGAGCTCGAGCATAGGGACGTCTGGAAACACGAGGCTATCCACCAACACCTCGTCGGTGAAGTAATCGATCAGCGTGACACGAATCAGCTCAGAGTCGCCGCTCATGGCAGTGCCCATCTCGCAGTCGATGGCGACGGCGGGGCGGGCTGTGGTGGCGTGCAGGCCCGCGTGCGGTCGAGTGGCGTGGTACTGCCACTCGCGATGCATCTGGCCCGGCGGGTACTCGGCCGCGACGTGGTTTTCGGCGCCGGAGCAGGGCGAGCCGGCCGGCGGCTTGCTGCAACAGGACCACATCTTCCTGCGGCTGCGCGTGCTGCCTACGGGTGTGTATACGGCGACGAGGGCGCCGGCGTGGAAGCGGCAGCGGAGGACGGGCGCTGCTGTGGCTGGTTCCTCGGGACGCTCTTCTGCTGCGCCGCTTTGTTGGCCTGGGGACGGGCTTAGCTCGATTGCTGGGTTTTCCGCTGCGTCGCCGTCATGTTCTTGTGGTTTCGGCTTGGAAGGCAGCTTGTTCCTGCGCTTAAGGAGGCTGCCCATGGCTTCGTGCGCGCGTGTGTGTTTTAGTGAGGGGTACAAGCATGCCCGCCCGCCTCATGTTTGCTTACTTTTGCCGCAGCCGGCACAGCGCTTTTGCCGCTCGAGGTCTTCTTCCGTGAGAGTGTCGAGCACGTATCCTTGCTCTTGCAGCTTATCGCACGGGATTACGAGGGCTTGTAGCGCGGCCAGGTGGATAGGGTCTGGGTCTGGGTCTGGGTAGGGAGCGCTGCTGTCGTCGCTTAGGGTGAGAGAGGTAGCCATGTACTCGTGGATGCTAGGCTGCATTGTGTATTCCGCTGGGGAAGTGTAGACCGGCTTGGTGAATGCTATGGCTCTCGCGGCATTGTTGATCGTCGTCGCGGTGCGCTTTTCGTTGACGCCTTCGAGAACCGATAATTGTCGAGGGGGGAGAAGTGACATTGATGACCTTTGCGGCTGTTTCCCTCTTTTGCCTTTTGCTTTTGAGTGGGGACCTTTGGGTGCATCAGCTTTCTGGTTGTATCCCTTGGTTGATGCTGGACTTTCAAGTCCCGCTTTGTTTGCCGCTGTGGCCTTATTTTTCTTCGCCATGTCGCCTGGAATCCCCTGAAAGAACAATGGAAAGAAGCTATCTTATGCTTCTTTGTTGGTGTTCGCTATGTAAGTCCGTAACAAGCTTTAACTAAGTCGAATGGCGACACAACGCGGCTGTTAAGCGCTGCTGTGCCGCGCCACGTCAACCGAGAGCGCTTACAGCACATCCTTACATGAAGCATAAGGATTTGCAAGCATTTTCGTGCAGGCTATCTCTTCGGCTGGTAGTTGCTCCGGCGCCCTTGCATATGAAATCCTACCACGGACGTGCCTAACCAGTAAAGGGAAACTTTACCTCAACTCGGGTATTCGGTTCGCCGATTGCATTCTTGAAACAATACACCGCCACCAAGACGCGCAAGAGGAAAGTGCTCGAGCTATCTTTAGATCATGTCGTCTTGCTGCGGCACAGCAACCCAGTGTTTTAAGGGCGCAACCTACTGTCGTTCTTCCACTCTGCAGCTCTTTGCACTAGACGAAATGACTGACGCAAGCTTTGAAAAGCCAACCCTGAGCCGGGAGACTTTGGAACAACAAAACATCTTCTTCGACGAGGACTTCTATCAAGATGCCGACGAGGAAGAGGACGTCGGCGACGGCAGGATTTCATATTATGATTTGCCACAGCACGTCAACACCGTTAGGCAAGCGCTGCTGAATTTTGAAGGCAGGATACCCGATTGCTGGAGCCCCCACTTCGACCATGATTCACTACCCGCCGACTACTTCCAACCACCAACCCCCGCCATTGAAAAACCTGACGTCGAAGGAATTACGTTTGAAACATGCAAGGATCTGATGAAACAAGTCGAAGAGAAAAGGACGGCATGGTCTGAGGCTGATTGGGTACACTTTCTCCGGAGTCGTCTTTTCAAATCATACGAAGATGCGTATCCCAACAGAACAAAGTTCAAGTAAGCTGCTCGCCACTTCGCGTGGTTCCATTCACTGTCCTATACTAATAAAGATATACAGTAATTTGTTCGATCGTTGGTCTTCGTATGTTCTTAGTGATTATGTAGGCTGATAAAGTAAAGCTAACAGAAAAATGCAGGGGCCAAAACATATGCTGGGAGGAGTTGCGAGAACGGCCTCACTTCGATCCGTATTTAACGTTTCCCACTGCACCCAAGCCAGATCTGACATTTGGCTTCCCCGTTATTGATTCCAGCGACCGACTGCCGAACGGATTTGCACAAGAAACATCCGTCCAGAACTTCTCCGAGAAGATTCTATCGGATCTAATTGGTGCAGGCGTCATCCCGACGGTCACTACTGGCCTGCGAATCAAATGCAACAGAGGCAGCCGCAAGATGTTCGATGCTGACAATTTATGTTTTCCGTGGGCAGTTTTCGAATCAAAACGTTCTGGTCTCGGTAGTTCTGGGAGAGAACGTTGCTACTGCCAGGCAGCAAATGCCAGTTCCGCGGCTCTTACCCTACTGGAAGGCCTCTTTCGAAAGACATATGGCCAATTGCCTAACGACCTCGGCCCAATCATTGCATTTACAAACACTGGTGCAGCCTTTAGGGTGTGGTTGACTTTCCAGACAAAATATGGCAAACACGTACGTATTTGCTTTTGGTCGCAAAAGAAATTTGGGTAACTGTTTTAGTAGATGATGGTGTGTATATGGGAGAGCTCTCTTGACTGTATATGGGGAATCTTATCAACCTCCATCATCATTGCGAACATGCACATCTGGGCATCACGTGTTCTCAAATCAAGGATTTCCGCTTGCATCAGCGAGTTTCGACGAAAGCGCCATGTAGGATAGCTACCGAGAAAGAATTCGTCACCTTGGGACCGCCAACTGACTCCAAAGTTCCAGACGAGGATGAATTCTTACCAAGGAGCCTCAGCGCAAAGTCCAGCTGGAAAGAGTTCAAAAACATGCCCGCCAAAGTTCCAGTCCGGCAAGAGGTGGCAGGATGGAAATTCCAGCCTAGAAACAAACCTCGCGATCAGGAGCCGGTCTGTTCCGCAAAAAACTACACATAAGCCTTTGTCTACGGAGGACAGCTCTAAGGGCTCTCCAAGTCCTTCCCCTTCGCAGAGGCGCAATAGAGTCGGGAGCTTTTCGAGCAGTCACACTTATCACGCCTACCAAAGTGGCAGAGAACGCACCAACTTGTATACACAAGATGAAGAACCAAGCTCAGATACCGCTGATGAGGATCATCAGTCTTCCTCAGAGGAGGAAGACCACTCAGAGTGTTTACAAAATAGCGGAGATGACGAGCAAAACTCGGATTACTCCGACGAGGATTGCCAGGGCTCGACGAGAGAAGAAGAATACTCAGAGCATTCACAAGACAGCGTAGATGACAAGTCTCTGTCTTCATCAAGCGTAAGTAACGGCTATCTAGAGTTACCATTAGACGTCGAAGGAAGCCGTCGGAAGTTCGCATCTAATGTTCATCTCAAACAGGAATGTATCGACTACAGGAAAGCAGCAGCGCTTTCGAACCTCAAGGGATCTAAGTTGGTAGAGCTCGAGACTTTCCGATCGATTATTCGACGACTCAATGATCTGGAGCTCTATGAGATCAATATGCGGTCCGAAGGGCTCTGGAAATCCCCAGAAATTATGCCCACACTAAGCAGAGTTACCTCTCTTATAGAGATGCTCGGCCTAGGCGAAACGACAACTGCAGAGAACTTGGTAGAGGGTAGAGTTTGGGGTTTCATTCGCGAATCTATCAAAGCTTGTTATACCCATGAGGATCGGAAGAAGGCGAGGAAGATTCTCTTATACCTGTTGCGCTGTGTGGATGGTCAGACAGGAATAGAGCTTTTGGGGGAAAACATTGATGATGAAGAGCTAGAAGCTTTAAAAGGACAGGCGTTCGAGATGGAAATGCGGCTTAATGATCTAGAACACGCAGAAGATTAGGAATGCTAGTAGCTTCGTTGACTATAGTTTTGATATAGTATCCAAATAGTCGTTCTTATACGTCAAGTAATACTAACTAGCTGGCTACCTGCTTCGAGCCGCGATCGCTGCTGGCTCGGACGGTGGCTCCATTAGTGGTGTAATAATAAATATAGGTGGTTAGTCTGCTAAAGAAGTTACATTATTGCCTTTTATAATTAGTATCTGAATACCTACGGTTCCTCTAGCGAATACTGCGTACCTTTCTTATTATTATATCTTGCCTTAAGTGGACCGCTTCTTTAGATGTTATCGGCGGTAAAATACAATTATAAGTATTATTAGAGATAATTTTTAATATATAGTATATTACTATAAACCGACCGTAACCCTTCGTTAAAGATGTTGTTATAGGAGTTTTGTACTCGGAAACATTTCGCCGGCTCGTCGTATTGGGTGGAGGCTGTGTGGTTAAAGAGGGCGATGGCGCCTAGGAGGGTCGTGGGAATATACATGACTGAAATGGTAAGATGTAAAGCGATGCGTTATGTAAAGTGTTACTATAAGTTAAGCGGAGAGTATGCTAAATTTTTACTTCGTCTCGTAATAAACATTCTATAAATACCTTATATATACGAGTGCATCGCTCTATATTACTTTCTATAACCTAATATCGAAAGAGAGCCTATCGGTTTAGATGTATATGTAGACTAATTGCATATCGAAATTAAGGTAGTACACTCTAGAGTATTCTAAAAAGTCTTCTTGAACCTTATATAGAAAACTTTTTTCTAATTACTATTATATTGCTGACCGAAAAAACTAGTAGAGGTTAGGGGTATATACGGCAATTTTAGAAAGTATAGCGTAAAAGAGGCGATTTATTAGATATCCCGGCTAGGCTTAAGCCCTGTCTTACTTTGAGCGAACGTATATCTAAGCCTAGGTCTATTTACTTCTATACCGTAAGACTGCCTATGAGATAGCGTTAATAGATCTATAATTTAGTCTATATTTTCGTATTGTGTTACGTTATTATGCCTAGTAATACTTTAAGACATTGTTGCATATAGTGATGCACTGTGGGTTCTTCGTTACGTATTACCTAAGGCTATGGCCGCCGAGCAAACAACTTGCGCGTCGAGACGTGCGCATGAGATTATCACGAAGTGGATGTTTATAACGTCGGAGGTAAGGGCGAGAAGTAGCGGACTTTGTATAAGAATATAAAGATGATGATTTAGCTGCTTCTAGATTATCTCTAAAATTATCTTGTAGTTTCCGTTTAATCTTTTCTATTCCTTATATCCTATGATTGTCCTTTTCCTTTCATGTGACAACATCCCTATCTTTTGTACAAAATATAGTTGCATTACTACTATTACCATGTCTCCATCATTGTTCGGATCCCAAACGGATCTTCACTAAAGAGGATTGGATGCAATAGAACTAAAGCCACGGGCTTTTACCTATCTATTTGCCTGCTTTAAGATACTCGACTTTTATCAAAGCGTCATTAATCCGCTGCTTCGTTCCCGCATCAGTAGAGTAATACGCAGATAGGCGCTGCTTCCAGTGATCCCAAATTCTACGATTAAACTCCGGCTCTCTGCCGGGAAAGAGCTTCCCCATATGTCGTTCTTTCTGGACATTATCCCATAAGCTTTTTCCTGCATAGATATACCACAAGCATGCCGCCCGTACTGCAGCATCTGTAGGCGATGTTGTGTTTTTCCAGGGCCCAAACGCATCGCGCAGAGCAAACCAAGCCCAGAGAGAGAAATCAGCGTGCTTGGACACAGCAGTAAGCTGCGCGAAGAATTTTGTCATATTCTCCCAACGCGTATCTTCTGCGGGCGTGTTCGTGCTGTCTAGAGGGTCTGCCAAAAACGTTAACGTAAGGTTCCTTTTTTCCTTGCTCAAGCGAAGTGCTTACTGTGTGCTCCCAGTTTGTCCACAAAATTTGGGCCGAAGGTAGGGAGATCTGTCCAGACGAGATCGCCATCATATCATAATTGCTCGCCCGTAGCAGGGTCCCTGACCGTGCATTTGCGGAGCTCTAGCACGAGCGATACGAGCTTTGGCTGCTGCTCTGGTGTTGTGCGCATGACTACTTCCAGAAGGCAATCTCCGGTGATTGTGAGTTGGCTTCCAACGACCGGTGGGCTTTTTAACAACGCAGCTGTAGTGAGGCTCTGAATCTGCTGTGTAGAAGTTTTGGCGGAGGCGTTAGGCTGCTTGACTAGCTGATTAATAATTGCGAACTCTTTGTGCGTTTCCAGCTCGGTAGCCAGGGATGCACGCGCAGTGCGGCGCGCTTCTCGTTCTCTTGGATTCATTGGAGTGGTTTTCTGTGCGGTTGTTGATAAGGGGAGTTGCTGCTTAATTTATATTAGAATAATGGGTCGATAACGTTACTGGGGCTATGCTGAAGCGATGAGGCGGTGCTAAGCTCGCGGTAAGTGACCGTTGTTGACCATTAACCCCACCAACTGCGCTATGTATGCCAGCGTGCTGCAGACTAGCAGCCCTCACGCCCCACGTATACGCTTATTATTAAATCATATTCGCGACGAAGTCTCCAAGCAAATTAGCCGCTTTGTTGTAGTGCTCTTACGATTCTCTTCGACCTGCCTGTGAGCCAGGCTAATCATGAAGTAGAGCTAGTACTATGCGAACAGCCGTATTTTCGCTACCTAAGTCGCTTTGCTGTGTAGAAAGAGATGCGCCACGGTGTGATGTATATATTTACTGTCAGTTTTAGTGCTTGAACGCAGACATCATGGGCGATTGATTGTATTTGGCGTGGAAAGAAGGGCCAGTGCTGATAGTATTAGGGGGAATGTAGTTTCCCTTGTCACTTAATAGCGAAACTTATACACAAAGCCTCCGCTTAGCGGCAACTTCTTTTGTAAAATTAAGTGTTGTGTTATGCTCTGTTTTGTGAAAAGGCTGTTTCGATTACATTTACAAACGATCAGCTATGAAAGGGGAATTCGATTTTTTTTTTTTTTTTTTTTTTTTT